GCCAGACAGATGCACATTCACTGCCAGGCACCGAGGCTGAGCGAGGCTGGACCACAAGGAGTCTTCGAGGATTCCTTTTGTCTGGCTACCTGCCACCCCAGAGCTGGCAGCGGCCTGGGCCCTTCTCTCTTGGCCCTGCTGACCTCCGCCCTCCAGATCCCACCACTCCACCAGCAACGACAGGACAGTGTGTCCACACGGGAGTCCGCGTGCAAGTCACTGTTCTAACTGTTCCTGGTTTAGTGTGGAGAGTGAAATGGTTTTAATATAGAGCAAGGTTGCCAGAGCTGTGCTTCAGGATGATTGTAAGTTAAATTTTTGGTGTTAATATGGCACTTAGCTTAGTGGTTTCGGTCGTTGACAAGCTGTATGCTTAAAGACAGTGTTCAGATCCACCCCTTAAAGAGTGACTTGGGCCCTAGTCGGCTCAGTGGACAGAGCATCGGCCCGCGGACTGAAGGGTCCTGGATTCGGTTCTGGTCAAGGGCATGTACCTAGATTGCAGGCTCGATTCCTGGTCCTGGGTAGGAGGTCACCAATCGGCGTCTCTCTCACATCAATGTTTCTCTCTCTGTCTCTCCCCCTCCCTTCCACTCTCTCTAAAAAATCAATGGAAAAATACCGTCAGGTGAGGGTTAACAAAACAAAAGAAGAGTGACTTGGGGTGAAGGCTCTTCTAGTTGGTGAAATAACATTGGTTTTTCAAGTTACCCAAATGTTATAACAAATTATTAAAAAAGTCAGAAAGCCAAGTAAAAGCATTTGATACCAATGTGACCTTCATATGGTAGCTGCAGGTTGGCTAAAGCCACCGGGCCTCCCGGCCTTCCCAGGTCTGTGGTCTGGGACCTGCCGTGTCTCCTCTCAGCTTCCAGAGACCCTTGAGCCTGGCGTGCGGCCTCCGCCTGCCTCCTGCCTCCTGTCCCGCCTCCGCGTGGCCGTGCCGGGCGGACGGGAGGGTTAGTGACTGCAGTTCCCACGCTGGTCAGAGAGGCTCCTGCTTCTCTCAGGTGCAGCGTCCGGACTGATTTGACCTCCAACCCCCTGAGCTTCCGAAAGCCTCTTGGACTCACCTTCCCAGCCTCACTGAAGGGTGGCTGGCGCTGCAGCAGGCAGCCTGGCGCCCGTGTCAGCCACTCCTGCCCTGTCGTGCGGCAGGGCTGCCGGAGCACCGTGGAGCCCTCAGGGCTATCCACTGGGTCTCCAGCGCAGTCAGCTGTGGAGGGGAGCAGGCTGCTTCCGGAAGGTTCCCTGCACCACAGTTAGTGGTGCACCAGTCTATTGGAAAATAGCGCCACAAATAATAATCAAAGTAGTGGATGTAGCATTTTTTTAAAGCATCGCTTCTTTTTAATGTTTTCTTGATTTTTTAAAAATATGTTTGTATTGATTTCAGAGAGGAAGGGAGAGGGAGAGAGAAAGAAACATCAATGATGAGAGAGAGTCATCGATTGACTGCCTCCTGCACACCCCCTCCTGGGCATGTGCCCCGACAGAATCACCATGACCTCCTGGTTCATGGGTTGGTGCTCAACCACTGAGCCACATAGGACATAACAAATTAATTTTTAATTTAATTAGCCAGCTAATTCTGAGCTGC